AAGGGACAGGCCTGGGAGCTCCAATAACTGCCTGCAGAGCATTTTGGGGAAGAGAGACTGTGTGCATAAGAGGCAGGTTGGTTGAGCTCCAGAGAGACTTCAGTTGTTGGAATAAAATGCCACGTGGATCGTTTTTTGTTTATATTCTATCCAGCCAATCCTGCTTCCTCTAGTTAGTCCTTTACAAATTTGCCTTTCCAATTTTCAGTTTTTCTCCAAATTTTATGTCTGTGTAAGGCACAGAATTTCTCTGACTCTCTCCACTTTTGCTTTCATAGCTTTCCCTTTTTGTAAAAATTTCTGAAAGTATTTTAATATAATGAAAATCTTGGAGCACTTCAGAACCCATTAACTTCAGCCTGGCGTGTGGATGATGGTATTTTGACTGGGCTTTTTTTAAAGGGGAGGGCAGAGGTCCATTTCCCCCCAAGTGCTTTGAAAGGATTGATCACTGTCTAGATTGATCATTTTTAACAGAAAACAGTTTGCTAAGTTTAATACCAAGGGCAATCCCCTCCCCATACATGTTCCCACATATTGTAATTCTGCTAAAAATAATTTGAAAAAGTTCAATGGGGTAGGGCACAGGCAAAACAAAGAATGAGCAGTCAAATGAACGTTTTGCCCCCAAAGCTCTCCAGTTTTTAAAAACTGAAGAGCTGTGGGGGCAAAACGTTCATTTGACTGCTCATTCCTTTTTAAGACCTTGACCTTGACTGTGGCTCAAAAGATCTGCCCCAATCTGTTCCCCTAGGAAAGAAACTATGGTCACTATGATGCAAAAGAGATGTTGAGACGGGAACTGGAGGTTAAAAGATATGATGAACGATTGCAGGCACTGGATATATCTAGTCTAACACAGAGAAGGACTAAGGCTGACTTGATAGCAGTCTTTCAATATTTGAGGGGCTGACACAGAAAAAGGGTGGCCACAACTGCACTGCTGGCTTAATGTCAAACCTACCCCAATCCGATCCCTTAGGAAAGAAAAGCCTTTGAATACATTTGACTAAAGCAAAGGGTTCTTTTACTAAGAGTGTTGGTTGCCGTAAATTCAAGCCAGCTCTGAAATCACCACCCTCGCTGGATGCAAAACAAGGGGTAGGTTTGCCCCCAGCCCATCTCTCCCCCCATGACCAGTCCATTTCCAGCCAACTGGAGCTCACCAAGATGTTTTGAGAACTCTGAGATGTTTGTGGGTAATACACATATTTCTCAGGGTGCCCGGCCATGGGATGCTGGTACAAACAGGATCTGGCTGCTCTGATCCCTCTCACCTGTCATTCCCCCCTTCCCGATTTCCTATCACACACACACAAAGATTTATTGCCCTTTCATCTTTCTCCCTTTCATCCTCCCTCCCCCTTCTTCTTTTGATGGCAGAATGCCTGTGAGGCCCCAGCTGAGGCAGGCAGAGCTGACACTGGTGCTTTAAATCTTGCAGAGGCTTTAGGCATCATTTCATCAGTTAAAGCTTCCATGTCCCTGAAATTGCTTCAAAAGGTTTGACTGCAACCCTTTTGGGATAATTTTCAGGCTGAAAACACATGGACTTTCCACATACCATGTTTCCCCAAAGGAGGCACCAGGTCTTATTTTTGGTGTAGGCCTTACCTCACTGCCAGCATCGACAGCTTCACCCAGCCGGTCCACTTTGTCTGAGGCCGAAGTTTTGCAGCTGCATTTGGGCCTGCATTTTGCAGTCAGGCCTTTCCAGAAGGTCTAAGCAGCTATAGCTCGGTTCTTGGCTGCACAGGCCTTCTGGAAAGCCCTGTGACTAAGAAATGAAGGCCTGGCTGCAGAAGAGGCCTCAGAAGAAGAGGTAGGCCAGCAAGGAGAGGCCTGGCTGCAAGATCAGTGCATGCAGGGCGGGTGGGGAACCCCACCCCACCCCACCCCCGTCGTAGCTTGATTTTTAGGTTTGTGCCTCGCCCCAAAACTACGGCTTTCGGGAAAACACGGTAATATACATTTGATGTGTGTATATTTGTATTTCTCGCTATGCATATATCAACAACTGTATAATCTATTCCCAGCACTTCAAGGTATATTTGAGGATAACCCTTTGCACTGCTAAGAATTTGTGTTGACCCAAGTCAAAAAGAGAATTTCATGACTGAATGGATATTTGAACTTGGATCTCAGTAGTCTTCCATGTCTCAAATGAATCATAATTAATATAAGAGATTATTCTTGTATTGTGGCATGTCTACTTATTCATTGTAAGATATACTTTTTTTCTTTTTTTCACATCTTCTGCAACATTTTATAAACAACTAAAGTTACACTTTTCTTTGAATCTTATAGACAAAGAATGGCAATAAGAGCATTCTGAACAAGCAACATTGAAAAGGAAAACAAATCAATATTTTCCATTTCCTTCAGAAAGCCACACAATCCTTCACCTTCCTCAGCAGGTGAGAGAGAAACAAGAGAAAATCAAAAAGAATTCATGCTGGGAAAAGTAGACTTTACGAAACTCAAGGATACATTACATGAAAAATCAAGAGATTATTTTTCATTCAGAAAAAGGGAAATATCTGGAAGTCAGTGGCAAGAAAAGGTCAATTAGACAGGCACGTAGAGCAGACAGTAAGGCAGGCCACACCCTGTGCAGAAAAAAAAGGCTTGAATCAAAGCACTACTAAACAAGGGATCACCCATATTTTTGACCCCCTCAAGAATATCAGTGGTGGAAAAACTGCATAGATGTGCTTATTGTGAGAAAAACACAAAATAGTACAAAGCAACTGATTATGCATGAAAAGATCCACACTGTAGAAAAGCCATTGAAATGCTAGAAATCATTGAAATGCTAGAAATATGACAAAAGGTTTAGTCTGAACAGCTCTCTTGTGGTTCGTGGGAAGACACAGACAGGATAGATGCCCTACAAATGCTCTCACTATGATAAGTGCCTTAGCAACTACAGCAACTTGGTGATACATCGGAGGACTCACACCAAGAAGACAGTGTATGAGTGTCCAGTTTGGGGAAAAGTTTCATTAGACATTCCCACCTCATGAGTCACCAAATGACTCAAAAAGGAGATAAATTCTTTGAATGTCTGGACTGTGGGAAACGTTTCACTCGGAATTCCCACCTGGTGCTACACCTGAGGAGTCACACAGGAGAGAAACCCATTGAATGTCCTGATTGTGGGAAACGTTTCAGTCAGAAATCACACCTGGTGATACACCAGAGGATTCACACAGGAGAGAAACCCTTTAAATGTCCCGAGTGTGGGAAAAGTTTCATTCAGATTTCTAACCTGGAGACACACCAGAGGACTCACACAGGAGAGAAACCGTTTAAATGTCCCGAGTGTGGAAAAAGTTTCAGTCAGATTTCTAACCTGGTGTCACACCAGAGGATTCACACAGGAGAGAAACCCTTTGTATGTCCTGATTGTGGGAAAGGTTTCAGTCACAGTTCCAGCCTGGTGAAACACCAGAGGACTCACACAGGGGAGAAACCCTATGAATGTCCTGATTGTGGGAGAGGTTTCAGTGACAATTCCAGCCTGGTGAAACACCAGAGGACTCACACAGGGGAGAAACCCTATGAATGTCCTGATTGTGGGAGAGGTTTCCGTTATAGTTCCAGCCTGCTGACACACCAGAGGTTTCACACAGGAGAGAAACCCTATGAATGTCCTGATTGTGGGAGAGGTTTCAGTGACAGTTCCAGCCTGCTGTCACATCAGAGGATTCATACAGGAGAGAAACCCTTTGAATGTCCTCATTGTGGGAAAGCTTTCAGTCAGAATTCCACTCTAGTGAGGCACCAAAGGACTCACACAGAAAAGAAATCATATGAGTGTCCAGATTGTGGGAAAAGATTCATTAGAAAATTCCAGCTCATGAGTCACCAGAGAATACACACAGGAGAGAAACCATTTGAATGTCTTGATTGTGGGAAGAGTTTCAGTCAAAATTCCGAACTGGTGAGACACCAGAGGACTCACACAGGAGAGAAACCCTTTGAATGTGCTCTCTGTGGGAAAAGTTTCCGAGAGAATTCCAGCCTAGTAATACACCAGAGGTCTCACACAGGAGAGAAACCATATGAGTGTCTAGATTGTGGCAAAAGTTTCAGCTGCAATTCCATCCTCGTAAAACATCAGAAGACTCACACAGGAAAGAAACCCTTTGAATGTTCTAATTGTGGGAAAGGTTTCAGTCAGAATTATGAACTAGTGATACACCACAGGATTCACACAGGAGAGAAACCATATGAGTGTCCAGTTTGTGGGAAAAGTTTCAGTTACCATTCTAGTCTGGTGACACACCAAAGGACTCACACAGGAGAGAAACCCTTTGAATGTCCTGATTGTGGGAAAAGTTTCAGTCGGAATTCTTACCTGGTGAGACACCAGAGGACTCACACAGGGGAGAAACCCTATGAATGTACTGATTGTGGGAGAGGTTTCAGTGACA